TGTGCGAGAGAGATAGTGTGTGGTGTGTGTGTGCGTGTGTGTGTGTGTGTGAGGTGAGTGAGAGTGTGTGTGTGAGAGAGTGTGTGTGTGAGAGAGTGTGTGTGTGTGTGTGTGTGTGTGTGTGTGTGTGTGTGTGTGTGTGTGTGCGAGAGAGAAAGAGAGAGAGAGTGAGTGAGTGTGAGAGAGTGTGTGTGTGTGTGTGAGAGAGAGAGAGTGTGTGTGCGAGAGAGAGAAAGAGAGAGAGACAGTGAGTGAGTGTGTGTGTGTGTGAGAGAGAGAGAGTGTGTGTGTGTGTGTGTGAGAAAGAGAGAGAGTGTGAGAGAGTGAGTGTGTTTGTGTGCGTGCGCGTGTGTGAGAGAGAGAGAGAGAGAGAGAGAGAGAGAGAGAGTGTGTGTGCGTGTGTGTGTGTGTGTGTGTCAACTTTGAATGATGCATGACTTCTCTCCTCTGTGTCCTGACTCGGTTCTTCCCCTTCGCTCAGAGTTTAAAGGATAAAGCGTCTCTCCTCACATCCGTCTTTCTCTCTGCGTGTGATAACTCTCAAGACGATTAATTTCCATCAATCTGCCTCCGTTCTCAATAAGGCTGTTCTTTCTGTCCAGTGAGAATAACTCAATGATCTATCTGTCCAATAAAGAGCACATAATGCCTCCCAGTGTCATTCACCTATTGACATTTCCCAAGCAACCCCGGTTCTGTAGTGTTTCCATGATAAAGACAGAGAGTCGTTTGGCCTGCGGAGCGAATCGATGCGCGAGGAAGAGAGAGGGATGAAGTCTCTGATGAAGAGCTGAGAGAGGATGATCTGTGAGAGCGAGAACATTAATGTGATCCATCGGTGTCCTTCGTCTCATTTCCTCTGGTTTCAGATGTCAAGCGTTGAATCGGTTGCGTGAGCGTCAGGGAACATTCATTCATTTGGCTCTCAGGTTCTGTTATAATGAGTTCCCTTCGCAGGAAGTTTGATTGACAGGTGATCTGACCAATCATAATCCGCCATTTCTGTCCGACAAAGCAGTCAGGAGCATAGATATCCATAATAAAGGCTAGATGTGTTACGGCGGAGTCTCTATCGTCATCACCGGCGGCCATCTTGTCACAGGCGAGCTTTCTGGCGGGCTCTGTGGTGCCTGATGTAAGATGAGTGATCAGCACCAACACAAATACTCTTATCTCGGTGAAATCTTGACGGATTTACAAACGGTTTGGTTTCTTACAAACGTTATTAACGTGGCTATAATTCTGGATGATTATTTAATGATACACTTATTATTCATAAGTGTGCAGTGTCATAACTACATCTCTGACGTTTATAACAAACCAAACCGTTTGGAAATCGGTAGAAAATTGAGCAAGTTATGGTTATTTAAAAAGTACATGCACCATTAAAACACAATGTTACGAGTGAGCGAGCTGCCTGTGGCAAGATGGCCGCCAGTGCGGACGGCGACCTCCATTGGCCAGCAGCGCGGACGAGACATCTAGCCTTTATTATGGATATCTATGATCAGGAGGGTTAGTATAGAGAGCCTAAGCCCCTCCCCTCCGCTTCCGGCTCATGGGACCTTATTTCGGAAAAAATATGTATGGTGGTCAATGGCGAGAGACAACTTATCTTTTTATTCCGTCTGAACTCTGCCCTGAATTACACATATGATGTTTGTCAGTTTTAAAAGATAATTCTGAAAGTCAAGAAAGTCGCAGTTTGTCATAAAACAGAAGAGTAACATTTAGTTTTATGTGAAAATCGCTCAATGAACTACATCTCCCGGGAAGCGAAACAACGAGCGAGATCCGCTGCTCATGTGTGTGTGCAGTCTGGTACAAAACACTCGATGACGGCGTAACGTTACGATTATAACAGAAGACTATAGAAACAATGACAGACGTTAGCTTCAGTAAAGTTAGCATCAGTAAAGTTAGCTTCAGTAAGGTTAGCATCAGTAAGGTTAGCTTCAGTAAAGTTAGCTTCAGTAAAGTTAGCATCAGTAAAGTTAGCTTCAGTAAAGTTAGCTTCAGTAAAGTTAGCTTCAGTAAAGTTAGCTTCAGTAAAGTTAGCATCAGTAAAGTTAGCTTCAGTAAAGTTAGCATCGGTAAAGTTAGTAAAGTTAGCTTCAGTAAATTTAGTAAAGTTAGCTTCAGTAAAGTTAGCTTCAGTAAAGTTAGCTTCAGTAAAGTTAGCATCAGTAAAGTTAGCTTCAGTAAGGTTAGCTTCAGTAAAGTTAGCTTCAGTAAAGTTAGCATCAGTAAGGTTAGCTTCAGTTAAGTTAGCATCAGTAAAGTTAGCTTCAGTAAGGTTAGCATCAGTAAGGTTAGCTTCAGTAAAGTTAGCATCAGTAAAGTTAGCATTAGTAAAGTTAGCATCAGTAAAGTTAGCATCAGTAAAGTTAGCTTCAGTAAGGTTAGCATCAGTAAAGTTAGCATCAGTAAAGTTAGCATCAGTAAAGTTAACATCAGTAAAGTTAGCTTCAGTAAGGTTAGCATCAGTAAGGTTAGCTTCAGTAAAGTTAGCTTCAGTAAGGTTAGCATCAGTAAAGTTAGCATCAGTAAAGTTAGCATCAGTAAAGTTAACATCAGTAAAGTTAGCTTCAGTAAGGTTAGCATCAGTAAGGTTAGCTTCAGTAAAGTTAGCATCAGTAAAGTTAACATCAGTAAAGTTAGCTTCAGTAAGGTTAGCATCAGTAAGGTTAGCTTCAGTAAAGTTAGCTTCAGTAAGGTTAGCATCAGTAAGGTTAGCTTCAGTAAAGTTAGCTTCAGTAAAGTTAGCATCAGTAAAGTTAGCTTCAGTAAAGTTAGCTTCAGTAACGTTAGCTTCAGTAAGGTTAGCATCAGTAAAGTTAGCATCAGTAAAGTTAGCATCAGTAAAGTTAACATCAGTAAAGTTAGCTTCAGTAAGGTTAGCATCAGTAAGGTTAGCTTCAGTAAAGTTAGCATCAGTAAAGTTAACATCAGTAAAGTTAGCTTCAGTAAGGTTAGCATCAGTAAGGTTAGCTTCAGTAAAGTTAGCTTCAGTAAGGTTAGCATCAGTAAGGTTAGCTTCAGTAAAGTTAGCTTCAGTAAAGTTAGCATCAGTAAAGTTAGCTTCAGTAAAGTTAGCTTCAGTAAAGTTAGCTTCAGTAAGGTTAGCATCAGTAAGGTTAGCTTCAGTAAAGTTAGCATCAGTAAAGTTAGCTTCAGTAAGGTTAGCATCAGTAAGGTTAGCATCAGTAAGGTTAGCTTCAGTAAAGTTAGCTTCAGTAAAGTTAGCATCAGTAAAGTTAGCATCAGTAAAGTTAGCTTCAGTAAGGTTAGCTTCAGTAAAGTTAGCTTCAGTAAAGTTAGCATCAGTAAAGTTAGCATCAGTAAAGTTAGCATCAGTAAAGTTAGCTTCAGTAAGGTTAGCATCAGTAAGGTTAGCTTCAGTAAAGTTAGCTTCAGTAAGGTTAGCATCAGTAAGGTTAGCATCAGTAAAGTTAGCTTCAGTAAAGTTAGCTTCAGTAAAGTTAGCATCAGTAAAGTTAGCTTCAGTAAAGTTAGCATCAGTAAAGTTAGCTTCAGTAAAGTTAGCTTCAGTAAGGTTAGCATCAGTAAGGTTAGCTTCAGTTAAGTTAGCATCAGTAAAGTTAGCTTCAGTAAGGTTAGCATCAGTAAGGTTAGCTTCAGTAAAGTTAGCTTCAGTAAAGTTAGCTTCAGTAAAGTTAGCTTCAGTAAAGTTAGCTTCAGTAAAGTTAGCATCAGTAAAGTTAGCATCAGTAAAGTTAGCTTCAGTAAAGTTAGCTTCAGTAAAGTTAGCTTAGCTTCAGTAAAGTTAGCTTAGCTTCAGTAAAGTTAACATCAGTAAAGTTAGCTTCAGTAAAGTTAGCTTCAGTAAAGTTAGCTTCATTCATTGAGAGAAAATGTGCGCCTTTGGGGTTTGTAATCTTTGTAATTACGTATTTTCACAGTCTTATACCTGCAGTTTTATATCAAACTGCGACTTTCTTGAGTTTAAAATGTATCTTTTAAATTGACAAACATCATATGTGTAATTCAGGGCACAATTCAAACGAGATCAAAATATTAGTTGTCTCTCGCCATTGACTACCATACAATATTTTTCCGAAATAAGGTCCCATGGTGGTCGACCGGAAGGGGAGGGGCTTAGGCTCTCTATAATGAGTTCCCTTCGCCGGAAGTTTGATTGACATGCGATATGACCAATCATAGTCCGCCGAATCCGCCATTTTGTCCAACAAAGCCGTCAGGAGAGTTAGTAGACTAACGCTGAAGGATTTGAACTTGATAAACGGAGTGTACTGATGTTTTTCCTCGTTTAAAACAAAATTCTGATGTTCATTCATGTTTATTTGATGCTATAAATGAACTAGCATTAGTTAATGCACTGTGAACTAACAAGAACAAACAATGAACGGCTGTGTTTTCTTGTAACTAACATTAACAAATATTAACTAATATAGTAACACATGTATTGCTTGTTGTTAGTTCATGTTAGTTAATACATTAATGAACGTAACTATTAACTAATGAACCTTACTGTAAAGTGTTATCGAATAAATTAATTAATAGCATAGTAGTATTTGTTGTGCTTTCAAAATTGGTATCAAGAGTTGTGAAATTTTGCTGGTTTTGATATTAACTAACTACTGAAAAGTTCCTAAGCTGTAGAAACCCCTATATGAGGTAAATATACTATTTATTAATAATCAATATTCCTGAATGCTTGCAGCTGAACCTCTTCACCCAGGCCAGCATGAGGATGCCCGACTCACACAGTTTCAGCAGCATCTTAAATCAACCCACACGCTATCATGTAAGAACACCATGATCTCTCTCGCCCTCTCTCTCGCCCTCTCTCTCTCTCTCGCCCTCGCTCTCTCTCTCTCCCTCGCTCTCTCGCCCTTGCTCTCTCACTCTATCTCTCTCTCCTTCTCTCTCTCTCTCTCTCTCTCTCCTTCTCTCTCACCCTCGCTCTCTCTCTCTATCTCTCTCTTTCTCTCTATCTCACTCTATCTCTCTCTCGCTCTCTATCCCTCTATCTCTCGTCCTCGCTCTCTCTCTCCCTCGCTCTCTATCTCTCTATCTCTCGTCCTCTCTCTCTCTCTCTCTCTCGCCCTCTCTCTCTCTCTCTCTCGCCCTCTCTCTCTCTCTCTCTCTCGCCCTCGCTCTCTATCCCTCGCTCTCTATCTCTCGCCCTTGCTCTCTCACTCTATCTCTCTCTCTCTCTCTCTCTCCTTCTCTCTCTCTCTCTCTCTTCCTCTCTCACCCTCGCTCTCTCTCTCTCTCTATCTCTCTCTCTCTCTATCTCACTCTCTCTCTCTTGCTCTCTATCCCTCTATCTCTCGTCCTCGCTCTCTCTCTCCCTCGCTCTCTATCTCTCGTCCTCTCTCTCTCGCCCTCTCTCTCTCTCTCACTCTCGCCCTCTCTCGTCCTCTCTCTCTCTCTCTCTCTCTCTCGCCCTCTCTCTCTCTCTCTCTCTCGCCCTCTCTCTCTCTCTCCCTCGCTCTCGCTCTCTCGCCCTTGCTCTCTCACTCTATCTCTCTCTCTCTCTCCTTCTCTCTCTCTCTCTCTCCTCTCTCACCCTCGCTCTCTCTCTCTCTCTCCTCTCTCACCCTCGCTCTCTCTCTCTCTATCTCTCTCTTTCTCTCTATCTCACTGTATCTCTCTCTCGCTCTCTATCCCTCTATCTCTCATCCTCGCTCTCTCTCTCCCTCGCTCTCTATCTCTCTCTCTCTCTCTCTCACTCTATCTTTCTCTCTCTATCCTCTCTCTCTCTCTCTCTCTCTCACTCTATCTCTCTCTTGTTAAAGGTCTCTCTCTTTATCTCTCTCTCGCTCTCCCTCTCTCTCTCTCTCTCACTTCTTCTTCTCTCTCTCTCCCTCGCTCTCTATCTCTCTCTCTCTCTCCCTCGCTCTCTCTCTCACTCTATCTTTCTCTCTCTATCCTCTCTCTCTCTCTCTCTCTCTCTCTCTCTCTCTATCTCTCTCTTGTTAAAGGTCTCTCTCTTTATCTCTCTCTCGCTCTCCCTCTCTCTCTCTCACTTCTTCTTCTCTCTCTCTCTCTCTATCTCTCTCTCTCTCTCTCTCGCTCTCCCTCTCTCTCTCTCACTTCTTCTTCTCTCTCTCTCTTCTCTCTCTCTCTCTCTCTCTCGCTCTCCCTCTCTCTCTCTCACTTCTTCTCTCTCTCTCTCTCTCTCTCTCTCGCTCATATGATGAATCATCACTGCAGATTTGACCCTTATCTCTTTCTCTGATCTGATTCCCTGCACACAGCAAATTATGAAGCGTCTCATCAAACGCTACGTCCTGAAAGCACAAGTGGACAAAGAGAACGATGAAGTGAATGAAGGTGACGTGTGATTTACACTGAGATTCTGGGGTTTCTGTAACTGATAAAAACAGAATAAATGGGAACGTTTGTCACTAAAACCAACCAACTGGATTCTAAAATAAAAATAAAAAGTCATGATGATAGTATGATTATGATGTAATAATAATAATACTCGAAGCTGGCATTTATGGTAACGTTGAGTCTCACAAAAACATGCCCACTTCATAATAAAATTAAAATAAATTGAATTAATACAGATAAATTGTATTTTGCTTATTTTGAAAAGGAAGCCATTTATTTATTTATTTATTTTTGACAATATTTCATGACCATTTACTCTCTGGTGTTGTTTAATCATTTTAGACCGAAAAAAAAAAAAAATTTATTTTGAATTTTTAAAAATCGCAACTTCATCGGAACGGTACTGGAAAAACAATTGTGGACTTGATTCGAAAAAGCTAAATGGTCGTAAAAATATAAATAAAAAAAATAAACATTTGTTTGCAGTCAAAAAATGACCACCATAGGAAATTAATGGAAAAATATGAAAAATTCAAAAATACAGTATTTTATCAATTAGTAGTGAAAAGTAGCCTATGTCTGAAAACCCTTGTCTCTGTAACTAGGAAATTCATAACCCTGTATATATTCATATATAGGACTATACAGACATCTAGTGGCTACACAATGGTATTACAGATGATTTTTTTTTTTTCCACCAGTTGCCACTAATCTGCCTCCATTCAATTGATCTGAAGTACTTTTGCTGCATTTACTTAAATACTACATTAAAATTCATATAAAAATATAAAATGTGTTTTTTTTTTATATATTTGATATAAATGGAAATAAATGGTCCATAATTAAGATATGAATATTGTTTAATAACACAGAATCCCCTTACAATAACAAATATTAAATTAAAAAACATTATTGAAATAAATGGTCCAGAATTAAGATATGAATATTGTTTAATAACACATAATCCCCTTACAATAACAAATATTAAAGTAAAAAACATTATTGAAATAAATGGTCCATAATTAAGATATGAATATTGTTTAATAACACAGAATCCCCTTACAATAACAAATATTAAAGTAAAAAAACATTATTGAAATAAATGGAAATAAATGGTCCATAATTAAGATATGAATATTGTTTAATAACACAGAATCCCCTTACAATAACAAATATTAAAGTAAAAAGCATTATTGAAATAAATGGTCCAGAATTTAGATATGAATATTGTTTAATAACACAAAATCCCCTTACAATAATAAATATTAAAGTAAAAAACATTATTGAAATAAATGGAAATAAATGGTCCATAATTAAGATATGAATATTGTTTAATAACACAGAATCCCCTTACAATAACAAATATTAAAGTAAAAAACATTATTGAAATAAATGGTCCATAATTAAGATATGAATATTGTTTAATAACACAGAATCCCCTTACAATAACAAATATTAAAGTAAAAAACATCATTGAAATAAATGATCCATAATTAAGATATGAATATTGTTCAATAACACAGAATCCCCTTACAATAACAAATATTAAAGTAAAAAAACATTATTGAAATAAATGGTCCATAATTAAGATATGAATATTGTTTAATAACACAGAATCCCCTTACAATAACAAATATTAAAGTAAAAAACATTATTGAAATAAATGGTCTATAATTAAGATATGAATATTGTTTATTAGCACAGAATCCCCTTACAATAACAAATATTAAAGTAATAAAACATTATTGAAATGAAATATAGTGCATTAATTTCATAAAAATGACATGATTATGTTCTCCGGTCTGTTTTGACCACGAGCAACACGAGTGTGACTCCCACATTTATCCAGCAAATGTTCTGGTGTGTGAGTGTTTGTGTGTTGATATCTGCGTGTGATCTGTAGGTGAGCTGAAGGAGATAAAGCAGGATATTTCCAGCCTGCGATACGAACTGCTGGAGGAGAAGTCTCAGGCCACAGAAGAGCTTTCAATCCTCATTCAGAAACTCAGTGACAAACTCAACCCACGTCCAGTCCATCCGCACTGACCCCTGCTGACCAGCGGTGAACTACATATAAATATATCCCTCTTTAATATGCAGAGATCATAAATAAGCCATTTATACACTGCAACACTGCAGATGAAGGCATAAATGCTACACTTCTCCTTTAAGTTACTGTTAATAGTTCGTATTAGCTCCACCCTTTAATGCCGATTGGCCTGGTATGTTTTGATTGACAGCTCCATGTAGGCTCCACCTATTTTAACAATAACTGGAAGTGCAATATTCAGTGAGCGAGTGTGAGTGACACTGTTTCTGTGTGTTTCACCTTCAATAAACTTAAATGATGCTTGTACATTTAGAGTTACTGTATAAGCAAAGACTCTGAATGGTATCTGTGTTATTTAAATCGACATGTTACACTTTTTTCTTATTGTTTATTCATGTGCTGGTGTTTACTGCACATAGCGGTGTGTATCGAAAACCATGCGTTTTATACACAACGGAAGTCATTGTGAATATTTCAATAAGCGTAATGTACAGTATTTCTGGACTAACTTTAAGCAGGGATATTTTGCCTGCTTTATACATTCATTCCTTGGGAACCTGTATAAGTGTAACTGTGAAGCTACAAAGTACATGAAATATTAGTGGTCCAGTGTCCCCAAAACCTATTATGCTTTTTAAAATATTTCCTTTCATGTAGAGTGTAATAGAGCTGTTTGTGGATGTAAACGGTCGGCAAAGTTATTGTCTCCTAAAAGAAAGAAGTGATTCTGAACTGAAACGAGTCAGTAATTCAGTCTCACTTCCTGCTTAACTAATTTGCATAATGCCAGCCTCTGGTCTTGATTGGCTGAGCAGCGTCTCTTAGCTCCGCCCTCAAACACTGTAGTGTATCTGAGACTGGAAGAGTTCGGTTCGTGTTGTTCGTGTCGAGAAGACGCTGTTTTCTGAGATTGATACGGTAAAACCCACGCCATCGTCACTGTTCGTATCACTGTGATCAAGAGCTGAGATTCAGATATGATAATGAGCGTTTGCTTTCTGACCAATCACAGCAGAGCAGCTCTCAGAGAGGCGGGGCTTAGAGAGACTGAAGCGTTTCAGACACTGAGAGAAAAGAGCTGAAGCTGCAGTGGAGATTATAATGAGAACATTAAGGTGTTTTTGCATGTAAACCTGTTGTAGGAAACTCCAAAACCACATTAGGAGCTTTTAAAATACATAATGGGACACTTTAAGATGGAGAGACTTCGAGCACAAATCTATGCAGGGTAAATGTCTGTATACTGTCATGATCTGACAAATTATTAATAATATTATTTCTTGTTACAGTAACTTCAGTTGTTTGCCCCAAAAATCATTATCAAACCCATAAGGCTTATATCTATGGAAGCTTGTTTCCGCCACTGAATAAAAAAAATAATTGCGACTTTTTATCTCACAATTGCGAGATATGAAGTCAGAATTGTGAGAAATAAAGTCGCAATTTCGAGATATAAAGTCGCAATTCTGAGAAATAAAGTCGCAATTTCAAGATATGAAGTCGCAATTATGAGAAATAAAGTCGCAATTATGAGAAATAACGTCGCAATTCTGAGAAATAGTCGCAATTCTGAGAAATAAAGTCGCAATTCTGAGAAATAAAGTCGCAATTTCCAGATATAAAGTCGCAATTCTGAGAAATAAAGTCGCAATTCTGAAAAGTAAAGTCGCTTTATAAAGTCAGAATTGTGGGAGAAAAAGTCGCAATTACCTTTTTTATTTTTCATTCTGCGGCGGAAACAAGCTTCCATATATATCCTTGTGTGCAGCTCTAAAGGAATATTATAAAACGGATAGTTCCGGTCCTTGATTCTGATTGGTTGAGCCGCGATCGAAGCCATTGTAAATGACTCCACACACACACTCCTGTGACCGCATTACATTAGTGACACACACACACACACCAGTGACCGCATTACATTAGTGACACACACACACACACCTGTGACCGCATTACATTAGTGACACACACACACACACCAGTGACCGCATTACATTAGTGACACACACACACACACACCAGTGACCGCATTACATTAGTGACACACACACACACACCTGTGACCGCATTACATTAGTGACACACACACACACACCAGTGACCGCATTACATTAGTGACACACACACACACACCAGTGACCGCATTACATTAGTGTTACACACACACACACACACACCTGTGACCGCATTACATTAGTGTTACACACACACACACACACACCTGTGACCGCATTACATTAGTGACACACACACACACACCAGTGACCGCATTACATTAGTGACACACACACACACACCTGTGACCGGATTACATTAGTGACACACACACACACACCAGTGACCGCATTACATTAGTGACACACACACACACACACACCAGTGACCGCATTACATTAGTGACACACACACACACACACACCTGTGACCGCATTACATTAGTGTTACACACACACACACACACACACACACACACACCTGTGACCGCATTACATTAGTGACACACACACACACACACACCAGTGACCACATTACATTAGTGACACACACACACACACACCTGTGACCGCATTACATTAGTGACACACACACACACACACACCAGTGACCGTATTACATTAGTGACACACACACACACACACACCTGTGACCGCATTACATTAGTGTTACACACACACACACACACACACACACACACACACACCTGTGACCGCATTACATTAGTGTTACACACACACACACACACACACACACACACACACACACACACCTGTGACCGCATTACATTAGTGTTACACACACACACACACCTGTGACCGCATTACATTATTGTTACGCACACACACACACACCTGTGACCGCATTACATTAGTGTTACACACACACACCTGTGACCGCATTGCATTAGTGTTACACACACACACACACACACCCGTGACCGCATTACATTAGTGTTACACACACACACACAAACACACCTGTGATCGCATTACATTAGTGTTACACACACACACAAACACACCTGTGATCGCATTACATTAGTGTTACACACACACACATAAACACACACACACACACCTGTGACCGCATTACATTAGTGTTACTGCGCATCTGCCGTTTGTGATTCTCACACGACTCTTGGACTGTATGTGTGAAATTTCATCTGTGCGTGCATTATTCCTTTAAAATGTTTTTGTTTGTTTGTTTTTTCACTGGTTTTGTGATCTCCCAGCAGAAATGATGTAAATATCATGATATCACACTTGTTTGTACAGTGTAAAAACCTAAACTCTGACAAGAGTTGCATAAACATGAATGTTGAGAATCGCAGTAGTAAAGCTCATTTTGGTCCATAGATGGCGCCAGTTCATTTCACAAAGTGCAAGTCTGCATTGTTTTAAAATTCAAGGCCCTCCTGATGAATTATGTATGTATTAATAGCCATATAAAACTAGTAGATGGTATATTTCATGATAGACACAGAATATCTGCAGCAGTTTATACGTAGGATCAGAGATTCGCCTTGGCAGGGCTACTCAAACAAAATATCACGTGTTTGAAAATATGTGCAATTTAGATGTTTTTGCTTGTTTATGTATATAGACATTTAAGCTATGCATTTTCATATACTTATCAATGAAATGATTTTAGAGCGAAACCTAAGAAATGTAACTATGACATATATGTGTGGCTGTAATACACTAGCACTGAGACATTTTTAATGTTTTCTATATAAAATCTATTCAAGAAAACAAATGTGTTGTATTTCATTTGTTCTGAGCACATCATACATGTCTATAAGTGAAAGTCAATGTTTCACCATTCCAAACCCATTCTGTGTGTTTCTGACGCGTTTTATGCCAGAATGGAGTCGGATCTGGAAAACTGTCCCATGACGAATGTCCTTGACCAGTTCATGTTCTGATACAAACTAGACATGACAAGTAGAAAGAGTAAGTATGCGCATTTATCAAAGCTTTGCATAATCCTTTAAATAATTGAAATGCAGATTAAAGGGTTAGTTCACCCCAAAAATTTAAACTCTCTCAGTAATTACTCTCCCTCATGTTGTTCAACCCCGTAAGACTTTCGTTCATCTTCGGGACACAAATTAAGATATTTTTGATTAAATCTGAGAGCTGGATCACTCCTCCATAGGCTTCTAAGCTATTGAAACTTGCCGGCCTAGAAAAGTTAAAGACGTCGTTAAAATACATCGCTTCTGGGTCTGCATCGTCAACTTTATCAATTTATCAGCTTTCATGCACAATCATTACTTTCACAGGTGTTCTGACGATTCATGCTACCCATCGAGATTTGCTACTGGTTATGCGCATGTGCAGACGCACAGTTTTTTTTTTAACAAAAGGTACATTTTCATGTGTTATATTGGAATTTCCCTTTAAAAATGCTAACTAGCATATGAATATGTGTACGGTCAGCCAGCTGAACAATAATAACTGAAAGTTTCAGTTACTAAGGAAAAGTGTGCTTTGACAAGTCAAAGATGAATATTTGATGATAATTTTTAATTTTCACACCGTTTTAAAAATAAAAACAGTAGTCTACAGTATACAGTAACTACTCATAACTTAGAATTGTATTATAATTGTATTTCATATAATATTAATCGACACCCAGATAGCAGAAGATGTTATTTCAACATGGAATTTTGGTTGAAATGGTTGATTTATGGGTTGAAATGTGTTGGTGAATCAACCACTGAAGAATTGAAAGTTGAAAAAATGTCATTGAATCAACGTTGAATTATGGTTGAATTTAATGGTTGAATTGCAAACATTAGATCAATGTTTAATCAATGCTGTCAAAGTTAAACAGGCGGGACGCACGAGGAGTGGCGGTTACTGCTAGGTGAGACCATTAAGATGAGGGGGTTTATATATTTGTAATTATTATATTTTTAATTAAACACAATGCTTGGACGATTGGTTGTGATGTTTTTTTTTAACATGTATCTTAGGTTATGTGTGTAACCTGTACAGAGAACAAATAAAAAACAAGTAAGAAACAAAAAACA